GTAATTATCTATTTTTTTATTTTTAGAATGTTATTTAATATATTTATTTATGTTTTAAAAAAATAATTATAATATGAGTTTTCTAAGGAACTGGCTAAAAGCACCTGTATGTTATAAATTTATATAAAAAATTAAAAGTTGATATTAATTTAAATATTGTTGTTACATGAATGGATTTAATAATACAATTGATAAATTAAATGTTAAATTTTATTTTTAATTAAAATTGATGATAAAAAAGTAAATTTATTACACATTTAAAACACATATTAAAAATATATTTATTATACTTTTTTATTATTAATTTATATATAAAATTAAAATTAATTTTAATTTTAATCTTTCTCTCAATTAAAATATTTCATGTGACATTATTGTTGAAAAATTATTGCTGAAAATAGAGTTTCCTTTCATAATTTTTCATATAAACTAATGATAAAAGAGTACAATAAATGCATAGGTTAAAAGATTTTTATACCTTTTGTTCCAAAATAATTGTCCTTTTTTTACTTTTTTTTTTCTAAATTAATGATTTAGAGATAATATTTATATTTGTGTATAATATCCTTAAAAAAGAACTAAAAAACAAAAAAGATTTTGTAATTGAATAATTAATTAAAATAAATAGTTAATGATAAGGTTAAAATAAAAAATATTTATCTATTTTAAAAAAATTAAAAATGATAATTATTTTAAAATAGAGAAAATATTAAATAAAAAACTTATTAAGTAAGTAAAGTAGTAATTAATTAAAAATAAATATAAAATTATATTAATTAATTATTACATTTTAATTAGTTTTACTAAATTTGAAGAGATGAAGTAACTAATATTTCCCTCGTCAAATTTTCGTTCTCAGTTCCGGCAATACAAGAGCGGTGCAAACCAAATTTTCTAATAAGAAAGTGTTTTTGAATTTAACAACTTTAATTATTAGATATAAATAAATCATTTAATATTTAAAGTTTTTTTTATTTAATATTTTTTATTTTATGAACAGCCCGCTCCGACCCAATGGCATCGAACCCTAAATTAGGGTTGTTCACCTCCGTCGGTTATATGTTTGAACCTCACGAAATTCTTTTTTCCCCTCCTCCAATTAACCTCGTAAATAATTATAAATTGGTCAAAAAAATATTTTTTATTTTATAATTTAATTACAATTTAAATTATAAATATTAAACATTTTTCTTAACATCCGTATAAAGTACTTAACCGATTAAGTAGGATCCATATCTATTAGATTTGAAAAATATTTTTTGAACAATATTTTTTGTCTCATTTTTTTATATAATTTGATGTATTATTAAAATAATTAATTTTTTTAATTCATATAAAATCCATAATATTAAATGTATTAACTCATTTAATGATATGTGAAAATTATATAAAAAAATAAAATAAAAAAATTGTTCCTATAACATCACCTATTAAATTAAACAGTACTTATTTAATTAAAAAACAGTATTTTCTTCCATAAAAAAAAGTATTTTCTTTTGTTAATATTTCAATATCTAAAAATTATATTAAATTTTAATTAATTAATTTAAAATTAAATTAAATTAAATTAAACCCTATAAAAAATTTCTTTCAATACTTGCTTTTATATTTACAAAAAAAATTTTTTAACATGTGTTCTTAGAATCCGTATTAAAGATGCATTAAATATAATTTTTATCATAAATATATATAAAAAATATAAAAATTGATATTAATTTT